CGGTCACACTGGCCCAGAGGCACCCTCGCAGACACTCGTAGGCGCGCACGCGCACCCTCCCCCCTCCTCCGCCCCTCCCGCCGCCTCCCGGCCGGACGATGGATCCTTGCAGATCCCGGGGCTGAGACCACCGCGCACCGCGCACCGCGCCGAGCCGGGGCGGAGGAGCCGAGGCAGCGAGAGAGGGAGCGCGGGCCAGCGGACGGGCGGACGCGATCTGATCCGAGCCCGGCCGGCGGGCCGCTCCCTGCAGGGCTCTGCGCGGCGCGCCGCGGCGGCCGCCGGCTCCGGCTCCGGGCTATGAGCCCCTCCGAGGCTCGGCGCTGAGCCCACGAACGGCCCCGCGCCCAGGACCTGCTGCCGACTGCGGGCTTCCCGAAGCCCCCTCAGGTGGGTTTCCGATTCCTCGGCTTCGGCCGGGGGCTCCCCAGGGCCCCACAGCCGGAACTCTCCAGCCCAGTCTTTCCCTAGCAGCTGGGGTAGCTCGCTGGCTGGGGAGCGGGGCGGGAGCCGGGGCCGAGCAGGGGATCTGACTGCGACTAGAAGAGGGGTCGGGGCGGGGGGGCGGGAGCCGGGGCCGAGCGGGCGGCGCGCAGCCAGGCAGGGCGGCTGTGCCGTGTGCGTCGTGTGCGTGCGCGCGTGTGCGTGCTGTAGCCGAAGCCCCTCCGGCCGCCCACCCCGGATTCAAACAAACAAACCAATCCAAAGTGGAGGACTCTGCGCTGCGCCCCACCCTATATAGACTGCACGCGCCGCCGGGCGCAGGGCGAAGTCCCGCTCTCCCTCCCTCCGGAGAGGATGCGCCAGCCGGGTGTCCGCAGTGCTGGGGACAAGTTCAGGTGTAAGTGCGGGGTGGGGGCGGCCCGTGCACGGACAGGCGCGTAGGTCTTCGTGTTTGCGTCCTCCGAAGTCCGGCCGAGTCGCCCGGCGGCGGGGAGGGCCCGTGGGCACGGCTGGCTCGCACAGGAGGGCAGCTGCGAGTGGGCAGAGAGTAGGGGCTGAGCTGGGGCAGCGCTGAGTGCGAGCGGGAGGCGGGAGGCAGCGAAACGGGCAGAGTTGGAGGAGGCAGTTCCAGTCCCTGCAGGCTGTGGCCCGCGATGTCCTTGGGGCAGTGTTACATCCAGCATCCTTGCTTCCACAAGGAGATCTTGGGCGCCTTCGTGTAGCCAGGGAGGTCATGAATTGTGGCTTTGAAACTTCTGGTGAATCGGACTTCTGGTATCTAGGAGGTGGAGTCAGTTATTTAATTCTTGCGTTTTTAATCCTGCTTTTGCCACCAGATGTGAAGAAGGTTTTCAAGTGGATCAATCCCTGGGAAAGAGCGCTTGTGGCTGTGCAGCCTGAGGGACAGTGGAGGTGACTGCTGTCTAGGAAATGCAAAATGTGCTCACATGATATTTTTTAAAAAGCAGATTAGACTTAACACCAGCATCGTGTTTGCCAGTGTTGGCCCCTGTCAGGTGTCTTGGTCCTTTGTGGCAGCTTTGTTTTTGTGGGGCAACTGTGTTGAGGTAGGAAATGAAAATTTACAAAGGAAAACTGCTTGCTTTAGCCGTTGTGGACGCAAAGTTAAAGGAAGTGTGAGGAGGGTGAGAGGCTCTGAAATACGGCCGTTTGGACGCTTTTGCTCCCTGAAGATGGGCAGCAAGGTGATGCCCATTGATAGTTTCAGGCAGTATCTTCCTGTTTGCTAGAAGGTTTTTGCAAATCCTCATTTTGAGGGAGATGATTTTGCTAATCAACCTCTGTCTCTGAGAGTTAAAAAAAATCCCAATCTTTCCATGTGTTTGTGCTCAGTATGCTTAGGATGTGTTCAGAGTGAGACGTGGGTGGAGGCGAACAGAGCGTGTTAAGAAAGCAGCCTTTTCTTGACTCGTCTGCAGAGGGGCTGTGCAAATTTTGAAGCTCTCTGCCTCAGTCTGACATTTTCTTCAAAGGGTTCCAGATTAAAGAGGATAGACACGGCAGGTGCACTGTTTCGATAAAACATTTGAAAGGGAGCACGAAGATGAAATCAGATGAGATGCCAGCAGCCCATTTTGTCCTCTGAGTGGAGGCACAGGGTCCTGTGGCTGCTGATGTCAAAAGGCTGAGTTTGTCTCGGGGCAAAGGAGAGAGGCCTGGCTGTCCCCCCTGGGATGGGAGACCTGCAGGGTGACTTTCGGATCCAGGGGACCACTCAGGACTTCGAGTTCACCCCTTTCTCAGTTCTGTCTCCTCTTAGTACAGCAGGAGAACTTGGGAGGCCACCATGCTAACTCCCACAAGTCACTGAAAGATGTTTAAATACTGAGTACGTGCCCTTTATTTCCAGGCCACACTGTGCTTCATTAGTGTGTTGATTCAGGAAACACTTAAACTTTCTAGCTCAGGGTGCAGACTGGTCCCAAGAGGCTGCGGTAGTGGTCTAGACCTGAATCTGGGTTCCTTTCTTCTGAAGGTTCTGTGTTTCACACAATAGACATGGATGGAAGGAACATAAGAATTGCCAAGCAATTTTTATACCCTTGTCTAATTTATGCAGACACTAAGTTCTTGCAGACCGAAAATGTGTATCTTTCCCCCTTGTGCTTTGATGGCTAACATTCTTTTTAATGACAGTCATTTCTATAACAGGAAGATGTTTTCATTTGTATTTACTTTTCAGCACCACGCAATTATGCAGTTTTGCGCTTCAGTACTGTCTCGGTACTTTGTGTCTCAAAAGAGAATTACAGTACTTAGAACAGGACTGCAATTTGAAGCAGGTGTTGTGTTTTACTGTTATGCAAAATAACAGTAAAATATAATTGTGGAGGAAATTAAGGAAACAGCTGCAAACTTGGTATGAAAACTGCTACATTATGATTTGTAAGCAGTTCTTAGGGATATTTTACATCGGAGGAGCAGGGAAGGATTTTGACTGAGTTAGTCCTGCTGGCGGGCTGTTGATCAACTGGTGCGTCAGGCTCATACCTCTCTGCAGCCAGGGGAGGAAAGAGCACCCAGAACTGCTCTGCTCCTACTGCCAGAGCATCCAGGACCCACCCTGCGAATGGGAAGGTGGGTATTGTTGAGCTGGCTCTGCTAGCAGGAAGAGGGCAGCGGCTCGAGTGGAATGCTGGGGGCTTCTCAGCTCAGCCATAGCATATGGAGCACTACACGGCCCCGGGTTGTAAAATAATAAAATAAATGGCCTATGGCAGGCCATCTGCCTTTTGCTCGATATTTAAGGTGTTTCATGCCAAATTTAAATTGAATCTTATTATTCTAAGTATTTTGATTTGAGACAGCAGCTAAGATTTCTGGAGCTTAATGGTGCCCATGGCAGGAGCATTCTGAGCATTTAAAGTAAGAATGTGGGTTCTCCAAGGGCTCCCTGAGAAGTGTGCTTCCTGCCTCTTCTCTGCCACACTGCTCACTGGCACCAGCACCTCACCGGAGTTGCTTTTCTCTGCCTTTGCACACCTACTGTGAAAATAGACAGCTATGTTTCTCCACCCAGTGTGGCAGCTAATACAATGATATTTTAAAGCAGATCAGAACTCCTGGAAATTTAAAATAACCAAACACCTAGTGAGAATTAGGCAGCACCAAGAACAAGGTGGCAGATGTTGGGGCCAGAGATAGAGGCATGCCACACAGGCCTTATGTACTGGGGAACTGCTCGGGGGAAAAAGTTATATGTAATGTGTGCATATAATAGTTTTGCTCAGGTATCTGATGTAAGCACAGAGTTTTGGGTTTTTTGCTTACATTTGTCATGCGTTATACAGATCCCTTAAACAAGAAGATTTCAAAGGATTATCTGAAACCAACTTTGCAAAAACCAAACATTCCAATTAGCAGAGACAGTTTGGAAGCGACTCCTCTCTGAGCTCAAGCCGTTTATAGCCGACACCATGGCAACTGTGGGCTTGGCCCTTCCGTAACTCATGTTAAGTGCCATAATTGTAATTAGAGAGGAAATCTGAGTTCGGATGGCTGCGAGGTGACTTGCTAGCACCCAGCAGTGCTGTTGGGAGTGGAGTGTCCACTCCGAAGTGCATGTGGTGATGAGAGTTGGGAACAGATGTATCCACGAGGCAGCCACACCGAGGCAGATTTCTCCAGGGCCAGGTGCATGTCTCCATGTCAGATACTTTTTGTAGTTTTTGGTTTTACTAGTGCGTGTGGAGTGCACGGTTACATTCATGGTGGGGAACTGGCACATGTCTACAGCATATCTTAATTGTTACTGTGTCCTCTCCTCCATGTCTTAGGCCCCTCAGAACCCCCTTTGGCCTGCTGTCTCCCTGCACACACCCACAGTGTATGTTCTTTCTTGTAGAAACGCACAGCGGTATTGATGAGCGGCCCCTTGGATTCAGAGGGTGGCTGAAGCAAACCATGCCTGCTTCCCTCTTCTGCTCCCGAAAGCTGTGACCCGCCCGTGCCGGAAGATGGCACATGGGATCGCTTCCCAAGGCAAAGTGACCATCACCGTGGACGAGTACAGCTCCAACCCCACCCAGGCCTTCACCCATTACAATATTAACCAGAGCCGCTTCCAGCCGCCCCATGTACATATGTAAGTATCGCTCGGAAACTTAAAACCAAAATAGCATCTGGGAACCTAGAAATGAAAAGAGAAAGAAAACCGTTCTCTCCCAGCAGCCTGCCAGGGGGAATGAAACGCAAATGAGTTCCAAAACAGATGCGTGTATGTGGCTTCAGAAGCCACCCAGGAGGCATCTTGTGCATCTTTGTACTGTTCAGACCTCCAGGCCCTCTCGACTGCAGGGTGATGTCAGGTCTTGAGGACTTTTGTGGTAGCGCAGTCGTTGTTCACATTTTGGAGGCAGGCACAGGGAGGGTGAGGTTTTCATCGCGCCACTCGGTGAATCTGGGCGGCACCTCTTGGCCCCAGTTCCACTTGCTTTGCCCTGGGGATTGCTTCTCTGAGGAGCGGTGTCTCCCAGATGTCTGTAGTATTTTCCCACATCTCACCGCTCTACCCCTTTACTTCAGCGGGGAACCAGGCCTGATTGGCACTAATTGTTCAGCTGTGGCTAAGTCTCTTGTCTCCCCTGTTGCTGGTGAAATGTGCCACATGCTTCGGGCCTCAGCGGTGTAGGGGACAGAGGATGAAGGACAGCGGAGCCACTGGTTCCAAACTGTACTCCTCTCACTCCCTGGCGCTGAGTCCGGTCCTGTGAGGCCTGAACCGTGGAAGGAGTCAAGGCTGGGAGCTACCCAGGGGGCAGGGTTTAGCAGCACAGATACTTACCCACTCCTTCCCAGCTACAGGGTATGTGGCTCTCTGCAGAAAAATGGGGCCGAAGGTCACCATCTCCCTTGTTTATTCGAGACCTGGTGCTCTTCTCTGTGAGCCCCTTGCCATGTTGAACAGGAGTCTTTCAGAGCAGGCCTGAGTGTCTTTGAAAACTATTGTGCCATCAGACAGAAAGGAGGTTAAGACTCTGTTGAGTGTTTTTACCACTGCTGGCGGAATTGAGCTCGGGCATGTCCAAGTCACAAGCTCCTTTTTAAGTGATTGTGTATGTGGGCATTTAAAAAACATAGGAGGACTGCCCCTCCCAGACACACACCAGCAATCCCCTTCAAATTCAAAAACACCAGCCCTAGAGAAAGGCTTCTCCTTGACTGCCGGGTGTTAGTGTGAGCACTGAGATGTGGCTTTGCGGGTGTGTTCTACAGAGCCACTCAGCTACTGTGATCGGCACAGTGGAAAAACTAAGGCAGCAGCTTGAAAGAAAAGAGGGAGGAAGGCAGAAGGAAGGAAGAAAAAGAGGAAAGGAGGAGAGGATGAACAGAAAGAAAGAGAGAGGAGGAAAGAATGAGAAGGAAAGGAGACATCCTTGCAAAGGGTCAGTGCTAACCCATTTTGAAGAATTCTCATACTTCAGACTGGAAGTCATTCATGGTTAGAAGGATGGCTAACATGATTGCAAGGAAAAGTTTTTAAAGTGAATAAGATTTTTCTTTGCTAAGATGCCTTTTCTGAACAATAGGCATGTGTTCGTTTCAGATCTTCCTATTCTGTTTCCCTGTGTTCGTTTTTCTTCGAATGTGTGACAGTGTTTACGCATGCTCTGCTTGGGTGCATAGGTCCCCTTCTGTCGCAGTGACGTTTTGTGTTGAGGGATCACAGGGAGCTCTGAGCCTGTGTCCTGCCAGGCAGAGCAGTGGTATTTTGGCCCTTTGGAGACTGCATGAGGGAGGCTCAGTGGGCCAGGGGTCTGCACCTTCTGCAGGCTCGGCTCGTCCTTGGCTGCGGGGCCCTGCGGCTGAGCCAGAGCAGGCAGAGACCTTTTAGGAATCACGAGACCTTAGAACCCGTGGTCCACCTAGCATGAAGCATCCAAAGGATGAAATCATACCCTGGGTGGCCCTTTGACCAGACTCCCAGCGCTGGAGGGCAGGGCTCTGCCACATCACCTACTTCGGCCAGGGAGCCTTCACCTTCACGCCCAGCCCTGTGAATCCCCTCGAGCTGCCCGCACCTGAGCCGGTGTCCACTGCAGCACGTGCTTCACAGCCAACCTGGGCTACTGCGCTACGGGCCCCTCTCTGCCGCCTCTCCTCACCAGTCCACAAGGACTGTGCCCGCCCAGTGCCACCTCGTGCCATTGTGACTTCCTCCTGTCCGTCCGTCTGTCTACCATCTTCCGTCTTGTCTGTCTGGTCTACCACTCTGCATCCGATCCTGTCCGCCACATCACTTACTTCCCACAGGGAGGCTTGGCCTTCTGTCAGGAGCCGGTGCTCACAGCAGCGCCGCTGACTCATCCATCTGTCCACTGATTCCGCCGGGCATCAGGGTGAGCAGCTGTGGCAGGCGCTGTGGCGTGGCTGAGCCACACCCTGACTTTTTGGAGGTGTGAAGGTGCGTTTGTCGAGGACCTGGCCCGCCTTTCCTTGTTCTTGGCTTTCCCTGCCAAAGGTTTCCGCCTCACGACCTGGCACGGTGACCAGCCCGTGGTAGGTGCTCACGTATTTTCCTTGAATGAAATGATGTTATGTTCCTGTTTATTAATTTAAAAAAAAAACCCTTAGTCTGGATAGAAACTTAAATCAGCTGGAAAATCTCTATGAAATATTTAGTCTAAAATTTCTTCAGTTTGTCTGCAAATTTCAGAGTGTCCTGGCAGAGCTTTGGTCTTTCCCCTGAAGATATTTGGTCTTTTCCACCTGAATGGTTGTTTATTTCACATGAGATTCTTAAGACATTTGCTTTCCTTTTTCACATCCGCCTGAGTCTGGGCATCCCTGGGATTGGACTTAAAATCCAGGTCCTTGTCCTGGTCCTGTTTCCTTCTGTACAACATGGCTGTGACAGAGGGTTTTCTCATCTGCCCAAAGGAGCTGCTCACTTCCTGTTGCATTCACTTGGTCCTCACTCGGCTTTGCACCTGACTCCGGACAGTGTGCTTCCCATCGCCGGGCCTCAGTTTACCCATAGAGAACCAGTTGCACCAAATGACATATGTGCAAAGAACTGCTGTAGGGGAAAACAGAGATAACAAGACTCCCTCTTCATCCGCGTGGAGCCTATTGCTGATTTCGGAGCTAACATCTCATCTCATTCTAGGAGGTTTTACTGAGATTTGTCTGTAAGTTCTGACAAGATTAACGACAGGTTTAAAGCCATTGCCTTGAATCTGCTTGTGCCGTAGGGAAATCCGTTTTTTGTATTTTTGAGAAAGCAATCCTAGATGGCATTGGAAAACAAAATTACAGCACCACTGGAGCTGACAGGCTGCAGTTTAACCTGGAGTCTGGGTCACACTAACAGACCTGATGCTTGGAATCGAAGGATTAGCAAGGCTCTGCTGTCCCGGACCCTCATCTGCCCTAAGCAGAACATTGAAAAACTATTCAGTGTTTTTAATGATGACTGGAGGAGGTGCTGTGAGAACCAGTGTCGGTCTGAAAGCACCATAAGATTCTGTTCCTTTTTAATGACCAGAGGCCTAATGACACATTACAGAAGCCCGTGTGCAGGGTGCCCGTGTGCACTGTCTGCTCAGACACCCAGTGGAGTTAATTCCTCACCCTTTTCTTTAAGGACTGGCTAGAAGGGGTTCAGATCAAATTTTATTTTCAGTTCACTGCTGTCCTGTCTGTGCCTGGAATCCTGCTGAGCGACACAGGCTGTGCCTCAGGGCAGCGTCCCCTGGTGGTTACGCCAGCGGTGTGCAGCTCGGGACCCCAGGGCTCCCCTCAGGCAGGTGGCTTCCAGGCTCTGTGCCCCATCTGTAAAGTGGGGCCCGGCCCGCGGAAGCCAGGCCTGTTTCCCTGGCTGTAGCGAAGGTCGAAGGGCGAGGCGGGTTGCCTGTGAAGTCCTCGGCCGGCGGAGCACCTGGTCCGCACTCAGATGTTAGCTGTTATCACTCCTGGTTGTTTGACTGATGTTGAGTGTTTTTACGATTCTGAACTGTCTCCATCCACATGGAAAATCCAGGGAGAGTGAATCACTGGTCAGTTTAGTCCTGTTTTCTCTAGGAGCTGTTAGCAGCCCAGGCCCACAGGGACTTTTCCAGGAGGCCTTGGGTTGGCAGGGTTGGCAGGTGTCCCGGTTTGGTGCCTGTCAAGACCATAAACAGAGTGGGAAGCTCCACCTGCCCCTGGTCACTGCGTGACAGAGGTCCTGCCGAGGGAAGGGCTTCAGTGCCCTTGGTCCACTTGGGCTGGCCCTGACCCTGTTCCCCCATGGAGTAAAGAGAAGCATCCAGGGTTGACCAGAGTAACTGGGTTGGGTGCACAGGACACATCCTGGGCTGGAGGGAGAGGACATAGTAAGGGAGATCCATTGATAAATGCTGGTCCTCTTGCTTGGGCGATGACGGGAGGATTTTTCTTCTCAGTCTTGTCATCTGTAAAATGGGTTTATCGACGTTTAAGATGTTGTAAACCTCGAACGAGATGTTGTATATGGCATATAGTCCTGAAAACAGACGTGGCTGAGTCTGTGTGGTGAGAACAGCTAAGGTTTGATGTCCCAGCTGGTGAGACAGCATTACCACCTGCCTGTCTCCACTGCATGGCTGTGTAAGGCCTGACAGGTCCACCTGTGTTCTTACGCATTGTGCTGTCCATCTCTGCTGCTCGGAAAGCGATAATCCAAAATGATCTTCTGGGCTCCCCAGGTGGTCGTTCATACCAAACTCCTTCAGGGTTTGTGTCTGTTTGTCTGATCTCAGAGTTTGCTGTCATCCAGTTCAAGGATGCGGTAGGCAGTAGCTGTTTGTTTCAGGTCTGTATTAGGGATCCTCAATTGAAAAGACAACCGAAGGGTTCACAGAAAGAGCATTATACAAAAATACAGCCTATCTAATACAGGGTAATACAGAGGAGTATTATGTTTATAGATGGATAGATAGATGGATAGATACCACTATTGATGATATATATATATATATGGCCTCGGTTCATGAACTTAATTCTGTCCAACCTGATTTCCCAGTAAGGTCAACATTGCACCTAATCATGAATTTGATTCGTTTCTCCTCCAATTTGATTTGAGACCAGAATTATGGAAAGAATTGAGTTTGTGAACCGAGGTACCACTGTTTGAGAGAGAGGGAGAGAGAGAGAGAGGGAGAGAGAGAGAGAGACACACACACACACTATCATTACTCATTATTTAGGGAGTAAACTTGGGAATTAGTTTTGGGGAAGCAGTGTTGAAAAACGACCTTACACTATTTTATTTGCTGCTGTATAATTTAAATTATTTTTATAACAACTAGATGACACTTTGAAATAAAGGTTTTTTAAAGAGAATGACAGAAATGTAGTTTGTCTAAGTCCAGCTCGCTCTGATGCAGTCCTGGGCTTTGTCTGGGCCACACTTCCTAGAATGACACCTTCTTCCATTGTATGATGTAGTCAAGGAACAGGCCAAAGGCTCTTGGTTGATTCCACATAATTCAGCATGCTCATGTTAAGAGTAATGTCCAGGATTCTGCCTACTTCTTCCTCCTATACTTAATGAGATATTTTTAAATAAGCATCTTCCAGATGCATGTTTAGAAGCCAGCAGAGTAAACAGTATCAGTGAGCGGGGAGCTTGCAGTAGTAGGTCCCTGATAGACTCTAGTCCTGCCGTGGCCACTACTTGTTCTGTGATCGTTAGGAAGTTTGGCCTCTGAATTTCGGGCTCCTCCCCAGCGAGTATCACCCCTTCTCATGCTGACAGTCCAGAATTTCTCATACTTCTTACCTTTTCTTCTGTCTGTTTAAAATTGAGAACACATATCCCACATCATTAGTGCTATTCGTAGGGAGAGAGTGGATTAGCAGCGCCTGGTGGGTAGGAGAAGGGACCTCTCTGTCTTACAAGTGGAGAGTGAGCTGAATGAAAGCACGCCGCTTTCCCAACAAGGTAGAGAAGTGCCTGCTGCTACAGAGCTGGGCTGCAGTAGCTGTTTGAGAAAAAGAATTCTAAATCCACACTCCTGTCTTGGTAAAGCACTTGGTCATTCTCATTACAGACTCATGTCTGGCCCGCACATTAGCATAGCTGTAATTTTTAAAAAAGTTTTCAATCATAAATCTGTCTTGGAGATACTGAATGGCCCTTTTAGTTTGCGCTCATGTATAAACACAGGGTGTTTTTCTTTTCCTTTCTCATTTCTTTTTAAAAGTTAAGTTCTCTTTCCTGGGCTCCCCCGGGGGTACCATCTCGTGGTTCATGACAGTTGGGCTTAGTTTCAGAGCTGACTCTTTGCCTATTCTGTAGATTTCTTTGTTTGCATCTGAGTATTAAAAAAGCAGTCTAAAATTAGATGTTTTGTCCATTTGGACTTATTCTTAGAAACCTAGCTGTGTGCTGTGTAACTGCATAGTGTGTTTTGTTTTTTGGCTACTTGACTCTGAGAGAGTGTAAAGAATTCTGACAAATAAAGCAAATCCTGCCTCCTGGGTTACCTCTGGATTCTGGATTCTGAAGTAGTTGGCTACATCTGTGGAGATAAAGATGATCAGAGAGGAAGTGGGGCTTCAGGCTGTGGACAGACACGCCTGGCCCGAGTCGTCCCATCGCCTCTCCCGAGGGCCCAATCTTCCTGCTGTTTTACACAGTTTTATTTTAACTTTCTTTTATGGAGATGTTTTCATAAAATGGCAAGCAAAACTAAAAAAGAAGAACTGCAAGAGCTAGACTGCGTTTGAGACAGATTGGGTTTTAATTCTGAGATTTTACAGCTTATGAAGCTGAGATTTTAAGATAAAAAGCAAAGCTAGTACCACTCAACCTACCCTGTCACCTGTAACACTGTCTAGGTAGTGCTGAGCCCTTTCCAAAAACGAGGAGCTCAGCACAGCGTGGGAGGCCCGGTCCTCAGCATGGCCTTCTTCCTTCTCAGTGCTCCCTTAGCTCTCTTCTTGCTGTGTCTTCCCCTCTTTCAACTTTCACAGGGTCTTGGAGAGGAGACGTGCATCAGCGGCCCTGCAGTGGCTGGACTGTTGTTTCAGGATCAGTTCAGACAGACTGCCACGCTTGTGCAGACCACCATGTTAGTCTTTTCTTTTTGTAATATAAAAACTATACTTGGAGGCTCTGTGTGGAAATTTTAACTGCACAGAGGAAGTTGTCGGATTATTGGCCCTTGCAGTATTTGGCTCTGGATATTTTTGCTTCTCTTGCTTTGAAGATGATTTTCTTCACCTTCTGTCCCTGTAAAAGGGTAAAATATATACATATAAGAAAATGGATTTTTGCAAGTTTCTTTACTTTTTTCTTTCTTACCACAAATCAAAAATATAAGCTCCTCTAGTTGGTTTACATTTTTGGCACAGTTTTGTATTATGCATTAAAGCTGTTGAAGCTTGAAAACAGAAAGGAGGATGAACACTACCATTCAGGAAAGTAGACAGTTGCATTTTTAGGATGTGATGATGTTGAGTTTTGAAATTCTGAGAGAACTGTAGACTGTAACAGGGCTTCCTGGGTTGGCTTTGGCTTCTTTGAAAGATCGCCTGGGGCGGAACTGCCCCCTAGCACCAGCTCCACTCAGACTTGCTGACTTCTGCTGGAGACAGCTCCTAGCCTGCCATCTCAAAGATGGCACAAGAATTGGATTAGACAAACGTCTTTTTCTGTCTTGCTGTGGGCTATTTTGGCATCTACATGGATTGGCTAAAACAAGGAGATTACTTCTACCTGCCTTTAGGTATTTGTGCCACTGACCTGCATTCCAGCCTTTTATGTATTGTATACTTCGTTTAAAATGTTCTTTGAATGAAGACTTAAAGCTAAAATCAAGAAAAGAATACAGTCTCTCCTCAGCTACGCAACCCCAGCATGCCTCCCTAATTTCCTGAAAGAGTTAGGCGTTCCCTATGATATACAGTTTTTACCCACTCCATTTAAGTCATGAGTTTTGGAAATTTTAAAGTTTTGTTTCATTTTGTTTTGATTTAATACTTCTGCAGAGATAACCACAGAAGTCTATCAAACGGTAGCACTTCTTTCCAAATCACAAAAGTCCTATCTGTTGCTCTTAGTACCTTATATTTAATACATGATGTTTTAAAAGCTTACACACTGTTCTGTGCTGGTTCTGCGTGGGCAGTGCTATGGCCTGGGTATTTGTGCCCCTTCACAGCTCTTCTGTTGAAACCCTGACCTCCAGGGTGATGGCGGTGAGAGCTGTGGCCTCTGGGAAGTGATGCATTTTTGAGGGTGAAGCTCTCAGGAATGGGCTTCGTGTCCTGAAAAGGCCTCCGAGAGGCTCCAGGGAGAAGAGCACAGCTGCTGGGAAGCAGGAAGGGAGCCGGGGCCCCACCCGTCAGGGACTCTGCCTGGAAGGGGGCTTTCCAGCCCCGAAGTTCCAGGGAGCAGATCTCTGCTGTGTGAGCGGCCCAGGTCACAGGAGTCATAGAGCATGCGTGGACGGGGCCTGCAAGGAATCCAATGCAGAGAACTTGCATTTTTTGAGGAGAATAAAAAGGGAGAAAGGGGGCATTCTCGAGGGGCAGAGGGGCTGGCAGGCGCCTCCGGGCGATCACGTATTGGCCTTGGCTCCCACAGTAGGACAGGGCTGGTGTTCATCAACCAGGATCGGGGACAGACTTGTGCCTGGGCTTTCTGGGGACGCAGGAAGTGACCCCGCATCACAGTGAGACCAGTATTGGAGGGTGGGAGAGCAGGTTTTGGTACGTCAGTCTACTTTGATCTCTGGGTGGAACCATAGTTTTTAGGACCTTTTAGGGAGTTCAACTCCTCAGGTTTGGATTTCACTATTTTTTGACAAATGTATTTGACAAGTAGCGAACTATGAACCAGCTTTTGAGAACTGTAAGACTATTTGAAGCTAGGATTTCCCAAGGTTGGCCATCTGTCAGTGGAGGAGACTTTCCATATGTCGGCGCAAATTCTGACTTCTGCGGGTTAACTCGTCTGCACTTTGTTCCTCACCCCGCCTTACGGGCACAGCTGGTGGCTCTGAAACCTGTTTGGGTTCAACAGACCTGGAGAAAGGGAGATGGGGCAGCTGTGGGAAAGGCAGGCCAGGAGGTGTCTGCCCTGGGAGGGTCCTAATTCCGGGTTCTTCTGTGCGCGGCTCAGAGTCCGCTATCACCTTCCCGGTGGACAGTGGCCCAGCTGGGTTGTCGGTAGTGTGAGCCCTCTTCTCACCTCATTCCTCGCTGGCCCTTGAGAGTTCAGGAGGGAGAACCCAGGGAGAGGCTGCTGTCCCTGCTGAGGCTCCTGGCCCCCTTGATCCCCACCTTCCAGTCTCCTCCTGTCGTCACTGTCGCTGCGAGGATGCAGGCAGCACGCTCCACTGTTGATCTTGGAACTCCATCCCATCATCCTGGCAACCGGGCAGGGACCCTCGGTGCTCGCCTTGGTTGTCCTTTGTTGTTAATTGTCTGTTACCATAAATTCTGCTCTCTGAGAAAGAAAGGGGGGGATGTTTTGAAATATTTCCTGCGATGTGCAAGCGGAGCTTCATTTTCTGTGCACAAAGAGGAGGGAAAAACGGACCTTTGGGGAGCTCAGGGCAGCAGAGGGCCTGGTTTTTCAGACGGGCCTCCTCGATCCTTACTCCCGCCGGCCTGGCGCTGAGAGGGCCCTGCGGATGCAGCCTGGCCCGAGTGCTCGAGGCGCACGCGCTGGAGAGGAGGAACTGTATGGCACCGGGGGGCGGCCGTTGCTCTGGTGGCCAGCTCTCCTGCCGAGGGGGTTTCTGCCAGCATCTCAGCTGCTCCTGCTCCTCCTCCCGAGCCGAGCCAGCCGTTCAGACAGAGCAGGCCGGGTGGGAAGGGGCCCCTGCTCACCTGCTTTATGAGGTGTTTATTCCGTCAAGTGTGGAATGAAAATGAGGTTTTTGGCCGTTTGTTCGTGCGTGTTAGCCCCGCCCTCCCTCTCCGCAGGGAGGGAGTGTCACGTTATAAACACGCAGGCTGTGTGTGGAGGTGCTGGACCCGGGCAGCAGAGAAGTGCAAAGCAAAAGAGAGGGGGAGCGAAGGGAGCGCTGCAGGGACTGCTGCTAACACAAATCTGGGCACAATTAAAAATATTGTAAAAATGAAGTCATTTGAGAAGTTAGGAGAAACGCTTGTCCAGAGGGAGTCTGTCCGGGCCGCACCCCTGCCATTGCCCGAGCAGAGCAGTCTCCCCGTGAATGTCTTGTCTTCTCAGTGGGGACCTCGCTAGACTCCCTGGGTTCAGAGTCCTTTGTCCTGGAGGCTTCCGTGTCCTTAACCCGGGCACCCCGGCGGTTTCAGTGGCAGCAGAACCTACTTCCTGCCGTCCAGGAGAGTGCATCTGTGTTATTCTTGTCCTCGAGTTTGGGCTTGGGTTGTCCCCTGAGGAGCTCCGTGCGGGGTGGGAGGGATCCAGTCCCTGTTAACCTGGGATCGCCCGGGGCACGGGCTCCGTAAACACGCTCCCTGGAGGCGCCTGGGACCCCGCACTGCCAGCATCTCCCAGCTTTTCCTGGACCTGGCGAATTTCCCTGGGCTTATCAGGAATCAAGACTACGATGTTGTCCCTGGAATGAGCCCCATTTCCAAAGTTCTGCTTTCATCATGCTTTCATTCCTTCTCTCGTGTTTTTCCAGGGGGCTGGTAGGTCCATGCGTCCTCTTTCGGATCACAGATGCTAATCAAATTTTAGGATTAAAAGGGAGTGTTGAATGTGTTAAATGAGTGACTTTGTAGCTGTTTGATATGAGAGTAAGGAGAGTGGGAATTGGGAATAAGCAGCGTCCAGTTGCTTGGGGGGAGGCAGGAAGAGGATTCAGCACTTTGGAGCTTTTAGAAGCTGTTAAAAGTCTGGGCGCAGGCTCTGTGACTTGGGGTCTGAAATGTGAGGCCCTCGCCCTAACCGTGTGATTGAGCTGAGCCCAGAGCCGGCCCTCCACGAAAGCCTGGCCTCTGGGGAGCCTCACCTGCATGGCGACATTATTTCCTTTGCGAGGAGCAAGTGACAGTGCCGTGTTCATGGCTGGTGTAGACTGCGGGGCCAGTCAGACGGCTGGCAGTGTCAGGTGCCAACCTCAGTGATCTGTCCACCCACTTTCCTGAGGTCTTCAAGGCCTCGGGGTCAGTGCTGATGTCGAGGGGAAGAGGGGAAGATGCATAACAGGGCCAGCTGAATTGTCTTTTTATGTTTTATTTTGAGGCAGGGTCTTGCTATGTGGTCCAGGTTGGCTTCTTTTAGTGGTGATCCTCCTGTCTCAGCCTCTGGAGTGCTGGGGTTTACAAGTGTGCTCCGCCACACCCAGCTGTATGGTCATTTTGTGAGGCAGGGGTCCTGAGAAGTGGGGGCGGCTGTAGGAAGGTCCAGGGCCCTCGACTTGACATGAAGGCTCTGGAAGAACCCCGACTCTTCCTCCCTCCTGGTACTGTTTTTCCCTGACCACTCTTTCAGGGCTTCCCTCCCTTCTCTGGGGTACTTGTCTCTTCACCCCCAAGGTGTGGCTCCCTTCCGCTGTCCTGGTCATGCATGCATTTTCCAACTGCCACAGGACTTACTTTCTTCAGCCATAAGCACAGTGAACACAACAATTTTAATTTATTTTTTGCTGTCTGTATCCATGGCATGTAACACAGCACTAGGCACATGCAAGACACTCACGAACACCTGCTGACTGAATGAGTGGAAATTGAAGCTGGACGCAGTGGCACAGACCAGTAATCTCAGCGCTCTGGGGGGCTGAGGCAGGAGGGTCACCAGTTCAAGCTCAGCCTGGGCAACTTCATGACTTAGTGAAGCCCTGTCTCAAAATAAAACATGAACAATGGGCTGGGGATGCAGCTCAGAAAGGCCTTGGGTTTAATCCTCAGTGGCATGAAAAGAAGAATTGAGCATGCAAGAATTCCCCAGGTCAGGAAAGAGTTTATGCTGCTGTGTGGACATGGTCCGTTTCTTTTGAGAACATGCTCTTGGGCTTGACTTGTCCTTGGCCTTAGCAAGGGTGACTTATGTAAGCCCCTGTGTGTTTCAGGAACAAGCTGTATGGCGCATAGCGTGAGTACTTCTGAGGGTCCCATGCTAATTCTGGGTATTAGCCTTCTGTAGACTCTCACTTCGACTGTAGAAAACCCGTCCAGAGTTTCACTTTGCACGGGACCCCACGATTTGGCTTTCCTGTATTGTTCTTTAACTCAAAAAACAGAAGCGGCAGAAAGCATATTGTTTTATGTCCTTGTGAAATGCTCATTGATTGATCCCATTTTGAGTCAGGAGAATGAAATCCATTCAGATCTGTTTCAGCGCCCTCCCGGGAGCCTGAGTGGGAGCTGCCCGGAAGGGTGACCCTTCCTCAGGACAGAATGTGGAAGCAGGTCATCCGTCCTCTCAGGAATCATGCACTCTGCATAAATCAAGCCAGTTTTATTCTGCACCCTTCTGTTTAACAACTTTACTATCCTGGAATAGTAAACACTTAAAGCTCTTTCAGAGCAGCTGTTTTGAGAGAAGTTTGTGATTTAGATTAAATACTGATAAACTGATCATTGCAACATTGGTATTAGGAGCAACTAAAAGTTGTTTAAAAATTGACTTAAATGAAATTCAGAGTAAGCATGAGGTGGAGTTCTAATTATGGGAAATGAAACTATAAACTCCTGAAAAAGTAAATGATCAGAAAAACCCTGCTGTAAAGTGCCTGGCTTAAGAATGAATTGATCTTGGGGCAGAAATTCAAGGCAGAAAGAGAGCAAGAAAGTGAAATTCGCCAGCCCTTGGGGGAGAGGAAGTTTTTAATTTAGGCTACTGACTTCAGGTGTTGCCCCTCGCTCGCTCTCCCTGTGGCTGGGCTGCAGAGCGTTGTGTAATTAGTCTTCCTGGGGTGCCTTTTGGCTGACACCTAATTGAGGCCCTAGACCTAGTGGAGGTCTAGAGTCAGTGAGGTTTCTCCCGGAAGGTAGAGGCCTTCTGAGGGCCCTGTGCCTTTGATAAGTACCTGTGGTGACTGACAGTGACATTGCTTAGGTAAAGTAGGGCTTGGTAATTGAGGAGTCCTTGCTCCTTAGTCTATGGAAATCCGCCTTTAAAATAGGGAAGATACCAAAATCCACATGCACAATTTAAATGAGCCTGTATTCTGCATTATAAATATGCACCGGATGCCAAGTGGAAAACCGGAACCCTCTCTCAGGATGCTGTTAGGGCCAAGCGGAATCTCATTAGGGGCAGCTTCAAAGATCAGTTCCTCGTGTCCATAAAAACAAGTGTAAATTATCTGGTGTGCGCCTGCTGCTAGCAGTCGCGGTGTTGCATTATGCATGACTCGAGACTGCTCAGGGGGCGGGCGGAGGGAAGACGAGGGGCTGGGAGGGAGTCCGCCAGTGTACGTGGGGTTGCTCAGTCTTTATTTATTTATTTTTGGTGCTGAGTCCTACAATTTGGAAATTTATGGGTGGGTTTCAGTTAGTGGAAGGTGCCGTATATAACTAGTCCCTACGTTTTTGATGAATTGGAGTCGGTTCAGAGAGGCGTGATGAGGTCTGAACTGTTTATGTGATCCGCCGATGCACTCAGATTTATGTATTGTTTGCTGCCCTGTGGAGTCCGATCAGGGCGCCGCGAAGGAGACCTTTGTGCACAATACTGAGTCCCTTTGCTTCCATCATTCTCTCCCTCGTTGTCAGTTTCTTGGTTAGATTTTACACGGAAGTGTGGATGCTCAGCAAGTAAGGAAGTGTAGTTGAGTTGAAGAGGCAAGGTTTTCCTAAACAGTTGCGGAATACGTGCATGTTAAGGCTCAGGAAGTGCGTGCTGGCCCCGCTGGCGTAGACGCGTGGTGTAGTGTCGGGAATACACCGCCCAGGTGAGTCTCGGCCGGCGGGGTCGCCGGTGACCGGGAAGCTGCGGAGCCCGTCTGTGCTCTCTGCTGTAGCTGGACACGAGGACATCCTTCCCGGTTGCCTGGCAGCAGCCGATCTATGCGTCTGGCGTGTGGTACTCCGCGGGGGGCGCCTGGACGAGTGTAGCCTGAGCAGCGCTGTCCTTGTTACTGTTAGGAGGTGGGACGCCTTGCGGAGGAGCTGGGGTCGCCCGAGGTTGGAGCCCCAGAGCTTGAGTTTCCAAGCTTGAGGCCACAAATTCAGAGAGTGATGGATCTGGGGCCGGGGTGGGGAGAAGCCACTGAACACGTGAAGCACTTGGAAGATGACACGTATCTCTGGCCCCTGGGACCCAGGGAGGAGACCTTGAGATCTTGGGGAAATGCACAGACATGGCAAGAGAAAAGCCACTTTCCTCTTCCTGGGTAAGGATGGTGATAACCCATCTCCTGTCCCAGGACAGAGGACCCCGTGGGACAGAGACCCCAACACCAGCCTCCTGGGCTGTCACTGCTCGCCTGTGCCCTCGCCATGCTTTGTTGGCAGCCTTCCTAGTTTGCACCTGGGAGCTGCCTTTGGGATTCTGCAGCTCTCCAGCACCTTCCTTGGAAATGGGAAACATGCTGTGAAATATGAGAGTGCTTGATGTGGGCTATGGAAACTGTCTGCAGGTTAGAGATGAATGAGCCAGGAGAGTGGGCTGCATGGGGAAGTTGGGTCATTGCAAGTGCTACATCTGAGTGTCGGTGCATGCCTGTGATCGATCCTAGCTACTCAGGAGGCTGAAGCAGGAGGATGACAAGTTCCAGGACAGCCTGGACAACACAGTGAGACTCTGTCTCAAAAAATATAATAAAATATAAAATATATAAATAAGGCTGGGGAAGCAGCTCAGTAGTAGAGCACCCATATTCCGTCGGTACTGGGGAAAAAAAGAAGACAGCATGGTCATAGCCCAAGGTTCAAAAAGTGT